ACAGGACTGGTCGTGGTCATGCACACCCACTCTTGTTGACGCGCGTCGGTGCTCCCATCGTCATTGGTTCGAGCTGACGGCGCCGCTACAAAGTGTGTGCTCATACAGGTAGCCTTGAAATGCAACGTAGAGCTCATGCCGATAAGGCGATTTCGGCGATACTATGGCAGTCGTCGAGGGCGGGAGGTGCGCTGCTTGCCTTACACCTGGATCACTCTACACCTAGCCACAAACCATAAGATGGCACCTCGGGCCGAGGCGAGCAGCCGAATCGGCCGCAGTAACCTTGCGGCCTCTCCCTGCGACCTGGTCCAAGGACGTCCACGACAACCGTCCTTGGACTCGGACTACGGCGCTCGACCCACGAATCTCGTAAATGAGCAACGAGCTGACATGGTTGTACATGGGAAAGGATGTGGAAATGGTAAAAACACTGTTCATGTTTCTCCATCGCACTGGCTCGGATTGCCTCTTTACTGTACAGAGGTATCAAGGCTTGGCTCACCTGGTTTTACATGGGAAATGATGTGGAAATGGTAAAAGCACTGTCGATGTTTCTCCATCGCACTGGCTCGGATGCCTCTCCTAGGTAGCCTTTTGCTGCTTTGTACGAGTAGTACAAGCAAAGATATCGACGCAGCCTCGTGGCGAGCGGCTCGAGAACGGTACGACTGCCACGTTATGAAACGGCAAAGCTTGTCGTACCGCAATTCTGCCGTAAATTTAACTGTAAATACGATATGGATGGGCAAAATACGGTGCTGTTCACGTCGGCAGATAGATCGAGCATGGCCGAGCGGGCTGGCCAAGCGTCATGGTCGCTACTAGATGCGTTCAGCCTCGTACGCCCGCGCAACCTTAGCCACGTAGCCGGGACATGCGTCTTGCCGGACCTCGGGGTCAATGGCCGCTCGATGCACCTGTCCGAGTACCGCGCCGGTGACATGGCACCTTGCAATCTCCAGGTAGGAAACGTCCACGTCGACAAGGATTGGAAAGCCGGCCGCCAGGGCAACGTCCCAGATCGAGTCGGTCGAAGCGCTCATGGGTTCTCGATTGCGCTCGCTCATCTCGTCGTCGCTGGGCCACATGAGCCTCTCGTCGCGACGAGGCGCTTCGTCTCCACAACGTCGACTTTCTAGCGCTGGCGACCGACTGCATGAAGCATCTCAGGACCAGCGCTGCGGGCTTGGAAGAATTGCGTCTGGACCTAGCCTAGCACCCGTCCCACGCAGCGTAGACGTCGATCCAAGAGGCAGCGAAGAGATTGACAAGACGCAAGTCGTAGCTGTTTAACGGAACGTCTAGCTAGTCATACCTCTCTTTTTGAGAATTGCTCGTCTACCATGGCCATGTGCTCTTGCGTTGAAGATGCAAGAGGTGCGTACCGACACACGATTGATCGAAGCGGGTACAGGTCGCATAGAGAAACAAAAGAGTAGGCGCATCTACAGTGCAGAAGATAGATAAGAGAGATGAGCAAACCTCGTGCGTCACAAAGTTCTCCCTGTCGACGCATGTCCCGATCTGCAGCAGAAGCAAGTCGATGAGCTCGGGACTGGTCGGGACCTACAGCAATGATGAGAGTTCTCCGTCGATACAGGTGCGCAGGTCGTTGGGCATTCGGTCGGGTACATGGCGCCGACGATCCTGCGAGTCTACCTTGAACGCCATATCGGCCTCCACCGCTTCTTCCATGTTGAGGTTGCGCTCATCGAGCTTGTCCATTCCATCCTATGGATGTCGCCGGTCGCTGTCGCCGTCATGCGTAGTCGTCTACCTTCCATGCGCCGTCGACCATGCTCGGCGTCGCGGCAGTTGCCTTCGTCAGGTGACGCATGGCGCTCTTGGGTGCTTCCCCCTACCTTCCCCATGGAGCCAAGTACGAGAGAGGGTGCTAGCACCTCCATGACGGTCTCGGTAGCGTCCATTCTCGCCGCCACGCTCGTTGCTTGTCCGGCTCTCGCGCATCAATCTGCCCAAAAAGATTTTACTCGCACTATTTTGGCCAATCAGAGACCGAGCAACACCCTTTACGCACAACCTATT